CGCCCAGAAGGAGTTTTAAGCCACCGGGTCCGGGACACAAACCACGGTTGACTACATGGGAGTCCAGCGACATAGCCATTTCACTAACTGCTGGTTCCCTTTTTTTTTTCTTTTGAGAGGTTTTTGCTATAGGGCACATGCGCTTGACAGAAAGACAGAGAGAGACAGAGAGACAGAAAGCAAGAAATCACTCCCAGGGGGGATGACCACACTGCAATCCCTTCTCCTTCATCCTCCTCTTGGTATCTTGGGCACGCATGCACATACGCCTGGCGTGAGTTTAAGCTGCCGCGTCCAGGACTCGAACCTTGGTCAACTACATGGGAGTTCAGCGACATAGCCATTGTGCTAACTGCTGGTCCCAATCCTGTTGTTCTTTAGATGTGACATTGGACCCAGGAGTAAGGGGGTAAGGGAGTAAGTCACAGAGGTGTCTGGAGAAAGTGGCCTAGGTTGAGGGGACAAAGCTGGCTAAGGCCTGGGCAGTGGGATGGTGGCCGCCATTGAGACACTTACCTATGTGTGAGGAAGATTAATGTGGAGGGATAATAGTGTATAAAAGGGGGAATGCCAGAAATGAGGGAGCAGGACATCAAGGTCACACAGGCCCTAAGCGCCGTGGGCGGGAAAGAGCTTTGATTTTTCCCTAGTAGGCTCACTCTGGCTGCTGTGGTAAGCGGACCCCAGCATTAGAGAACAAAGCATGCAGAGCCCGTGTTGGGTGAGGGAGCTTCAGTGAAGGCACAAGGTGGTGGCTTAGGCAGGCTCCAAAGGAGAGGTGGCCAGCGATGATTGTGATTGTCTAACAACTCAAGTGCCTAGGTAATAAGCAAATCATTTCTTTTTCTTTCTTTCTTTTTTTTTTTTTAATTTATTTCATGAGAAAGAAGGAGGGAGGGAAAGAAGGAGAGAAAGAGAGAAAAGAGAGGAACACCCAAAGAGTTTTCATGCTGCGATCCATCCACCTCCAGCCTCAGCCAACTGGGATCACTCACATCTTTGCATACACAGGGAGACCACAGGATGTGATCCTGGGACCATCCCAGTAGCTTCAGCATTGCAGAGTATCCAGCATGGCTGGATGCAAGTTGTTTCTTAAAAAGCTGATGATGCTTTCAGGTTTTTGAAAAGAGGAAAAGCTGCGACATCATTGATTTAATAAAGTAAAGTGAGTATGTGTGATACTCCACTGTTAAAGGTATTTATGTATGAGGCTGCTGAATTTTCAGATTTCTAGTTCCAGTTATAGTGGTCACATCAGAAATACAGCCTGGGAACCAGCAGTTAGCGTAATGGCTATGTCACTGGACTCCCATGTGGTCGACCGTGGTTCGCATCCTGCACCCGGTGGCTTGGAACTCACGCCGGGCGCGTGTGCGTGCATACCCACGATCCCGAGAGGAGAATGGAGGAGAAGGGATTATGGCGTGACCATCCCCTCTGGGGGGTGATTTCTCGCTTTCTGTCTCTATGTCTCTCTCTGTCTGTCTGGCGAGCGCACGCGCCCTATAGTGAAAACCTCTACCCCCCCAAAAAAAAAATAAAAATAAATACAGCCTGCCCCCTGTATCCATAGGTTCAGCATTCATAGATGCAAACCACTTCAAAAAAAAAAATTGGTTGCGTCCGTACTGAACATGGACAAACATTTTTTCTTATTGCTATTCCCTAAACCACAATCCATTTCTCACTTGTGACTCACCTGTTTGGTGACCGCTTAGGCTTATCACCAGACCCCCATGCAGGGCATCTTCTTTATCAGGCTGTGCAAGTCTCCACAATCCCCTTTCTCAGTTTTTATCTTGTTCCCGCAGTCGGTCAGCATTCACTACACGAAGGGTTCACAATCATGCAAGACTATGTGTTTCATTATAAACTTGTACTTTATTGTGCACCGTATTAGTATTTGGAATAAATGAAAATGATGACACCAGATTTATATTATTGTGTTGTGGTATGTCTTGTTGCTTTCTGGTGCTTGCCTAATGTATGACTTTTGTAAGGCTAGAATTACTTTCTTCTAGGCTGGCTTCTCATGATATCTATTTTAAAATGCATGCTCTATGGCACCACAACACATCACAGGACATCACCGTCGAGCTCCTCGTTTAGCAACCAACTAGCTTATCGTTCTCAGAATGGCTCGGTCCGTAAGTGAGGAGTGCCTGTACAGTAATTATTTATGCAGCATTTACATTGCTTTAGGTGTTGTAAGTATTCTAGAGATGATTTAAAAAGACACCAGAGAATTTGCTTAGGTTATATGTAAATATGGCACCATTTTATATAAGGGACTTGAATATCTATGGATTTCGGTGTTGACGAGTGTCCTGAAACCATTGCACTGTAGATACAGAAGGATGACTAAATTTTATAGCGAAGACCCTTCTTGAGATTTTTATATTGTATTAGTGCTTTTCACTAAACCTAGCTGTAGTCTAATCAGCCTAAGAAGGAATATTGGGGAGGGCCTGTCAACAATGATATTTACCATCCGAGACTGACAAGACACAGACTTTCACACCCATTCTAAGGAAGGGTAGGAGACATATTATGGCATAGGAAAGATGATTCACAAAGCTATTTTCCCACTGGATCGTCACAGAAAAGATGAAACAGACAGTAATATACTGCCACCTGGGGGAAGGTTTGGCTTCTAAGGAAGTTAAAAAAAAAACAAAAAAAACTAAAGTTCACCCTAAGTAGAAGTGATAGTATTTTGTTGCACATTCTGTGGTGTTATAATATCTATTGTAAACTTTATTAAATTTGGTGTTTATAATTTTGATGACTATTTTCTGAGCTTAAAATCAGTATAACTGAATTCTTTTAATTTGGGGGTTTATTTTTATGAACAATTTGTGAAGTATAAAAATAAAACCACATTCAGTTATGACCATAACACGTACATTTGGTGGAAGTATCATTAAATGAGGGTGTTGTAGAGGATCCAGATTATACTGTCAATATTCTTGCTTCCCATCTTTACATTCTATTACAGCAGATTGTTCTAAAATCTTAGCATTATGCTCACCTCTCAAATAAGCAAAGAAAGTAAAGAGCAAGAAGCTGGCATTCTTTTCTACGAGCCTGAATAAAAGTATTTTTGGATGAACTACTGTGTTGTCAGAGATGGGACAAGTTAAATAATCACCAAGACTTCTTGTTAGTGCCATAAGACAAATGTCCTGTAACTGATCCTGGCTCAAAATTGATTTTGTCAAAGACAAAATCATTCTGACACTTTTATTTGCTTTTGTGTTTTTATCATAAATTTGAGGTTTAAACCCTTGGTTAACTTGCCCAAAAAGATTGTTTTCCTTTCCTTTTAAGAGTAAAAGTTGAAACTATAACTCATAGCTATAGTTTGGCTTCTATTCATTAATTCTTCCCTGTGTGTTCCCCTACAGCTTCTCTGGAAAACATCATAGAGTAGTGGAGAGAACTTCAGCTTTGGAGTCAACAAGTTCTGAGTTCAAATCCTAGCTTTGCCCATGTACTTAGGAAAATGTACTTTTTCTTCAGCCTTACGCTCTTTATTTATTAAATAGAGGACATCATTGCCTCACAGAGTTAGTGTGAGAGATAAGGACATAATATTTGAAACCTCATAAGCTGTTGATGACAGTTCAAGATATGAAAATGCAATATCAATTAAATCAATTCCACTGCAATTTTTCTGATGTGTGAACTACAATAATTTTTATTTTGGCTTTATATGAAAGCTTTTTCCCCAGGCTTTTCTAGGTTTTTTAGAGAATTTTTAAGTTTTCTAGATAATTTTGGTCCAGTTCAGTGGCTAAAAGTGAATATCCTCTATTTATACTATCTGTCATCTGTTTCAGTGCTGTCATTTGTCTCCAACTGATTATACAATTGTGGATTTTTTTAACCAGAAATGAAATGTGAACAGATAAGAATGGAAACATAGATGTTTTGGGTGTTTCCATTAATCCCATGCCAAGATCTTTATAGCTTCTTCTTGGTTTTAGTAGTCCTGCCTCTGGTATTAGAGATTTTTGTTACTTTATCATCTTTCAGGTTTGTGATAGTTGTAAGTAGTAATAGGCATGTAAAGTGATGTTGGGGAGTTAATTAGAAACCAAACTCTAGTATGTTTGGGAATGTGAGTTATAGTTTCAACTTTGACTGTTAATTGGATTCAGTTCAATAAAAAGACTGTGATGTGATATGAATTTGCATGCAAGTGTCAATCATGAAAAAAATAGATTTATGAAATGACCATTCCTAAGAAGTTATTTATAATGAACTTTTAATTAGATCCTCTTTGTTATTTTCAGCTGTACAAAGAAATTGAAATTTGTCCAAAAGTCACTCAGAACATCCACATTGAAAAGTCAGATACAGCTGCTGATAATTACGGTATGTTTATTTTTCTTCCACCTTTAGTGTTTGTGTTTCAAGTCAAAGCATTTCCTATGTAAATATGTACTTATTTACAAGTCAATAAAATGCCTTTGGGTCCTTTATAAAACAGGGAGCACATCTGGTTTCTGTGCTGTGAAGAGAAGCCAAATCTAGGAAAGAAAGAGATATTTACTGCAAGCCCGATGAAGAGTTCAGCCTTAAATTGTGTAACTTCAGTCATTCAGGTTCTACCATCATAAAAAAAAATGGATATATTGGGAGTAGATTATTTCTTATTATCTTAGTAATGATGGAATTGTCCTTTTACTCATGGGACAATGTCAGGAGAAACCAGGCTCAAGCATCATATGTCTTCTCCCAGTAGAGTCACACAGAATGGGGTTAATTCTTCTGGCAGCAAGTTTTAACAACACGTGGTAAGTTCTTTAGAGACTCAGTGCCCAGGATTTTTCTTGGGAGAGTAGTCATGTGGGTACCCTCTCACTAGCACATTCCAAAATAATAAACTTTCAGCAGG